ACCAGTTTAGATCGGTCCGTGACTCCTGATCTAAGATTATTTTTGCACTGTAATCTTTCAGTACTGCTAGCTCTCTGATTTTTTGCCTTTGTAAGGCTCTGTAGTGGAGAGGAGCTGATAGCACTGCTAGCTTGCAGCTCTGGAGCTTGCCTATAATTTGTGCAAGGTCCCTTATTGAGACTGAAGTCTTCCTCAATAAGGTTCTGATCACCTCCAAAATGTTGATAAGTTTGTCCTCCGGGACTTTCAAGGTCATATTTCTCGAGTCTATTGTGACTCCCAAAAATTCTAATTCCTGCACGGGAACAAACTGGGATTTTTTGTAGTTGATCAGAAAACCTAAGGATTGTAGGAGGTCCTCGACCCTCTTCATGCTCTGAGACAGTCCCTCTTGAGTCCTGCTCAAAACGAGACTGTCGTCTAGGTAGGTCAATATTCGAATCCCCTGCCTCCTTAGAAATGCTATTACTGGTTTCAATACCTTTGTAAATACCCTTGGACTCTGGCTGAGACCAAAAGGAAGGCAGGTAAATTCGTACATTGAGCCCCTCCAACGAAACCGGAGATATCTCCAATGGTCGCGATGGATAGGGATTGTAAAGTATGTATCCTTGAGGTCTAGTTTTCCCATCCAGTCCCCTAGGGATAACATGTTCTTCAGGAGAGACAAATCCTCCATCTTGAAATGATGGTAAGCTGTACAGCCATTTAGGCCCTTCAGATTGATCACTGGACGAGCCCCCCCTCCTTTTTTTTGGGACAATGAATATATTGCTCACATAACCCCTGGTATGATCTGAAGCCACCTGAATGGCTCCTTTTGAGAGGAGGTTCTTTACTTCCTCCTCTACTGKCAGCCGATCTTTGTCTGACATGTGAGGGGAAACTGGGAAGTGACGCTGAAAAGGCCTCTCTACAAAATCCATTTTGTATCCCCTGATAGAGTTCAGAACCCATTGATCTTGGGTTATTGACTCCCAGGCCTGAGTAAATTGAGCTGTTCTTCCCACTACTGGAGGTACAGTGATAGAAGTAGAAATTATTGGATTTGTACTCACTTTGAGTTGTTGCTTTCTTGGCGATTCTCGTGGGTGGGGTACTTTCTGCCTCGTCCCCTGCTCTGTGTAGTCTGCCCTCTGGACYAGTTTGAGCGGGATTGGCGTCCAGGGGCAGCTGTCCGAAAAGGCTGATGACTACGATCATCCTTCTTAGGCCCAGAAGCCTGACGTTTGACCTTTTGACCCGAGGTCCCTTGACTGACAGCTCGACGTTTACGAGATGAATTTGACAGCTTATCATAATAGTCCTCGGAGTCATAGTGGCCTGAAGCCCTACGTTTAAACTCGAAGACTTGCTTATGTGCTGCCTTCTGCTTCTGGTTTTCATCCA